CTTCGGTGGCAGGAGGAGCACAACTTCGGTGGCGGGAGGAGCACCAGAATAGCACAACTTTGGTGGCGGAGGAGCACCAGAATAGCACAGCTTCGGTGGCGGGAGGAGCGCCATGAATAGCACAACTTCGGTGGCAGGAGGAGCACCAGAACAGCACAACTTCGGTGGCCGGAGGAGCACCAGAATAGCAGAACTTCGGTGGCGGGAGGAGCACCAGAATAGCACAGCTTCGGTGGCGCGAGGAGCACCAGAGAAGCACAACTTCGGTGGCAGGAGGAGCACCACAGCACTTAGGAGCACCAGAATAGCACAACTGTGGTGGCGGGAGGACCAGAATAGCACAACTTCCAGCTGCGGTCAAGGCCCAGCCCAAATTTAGTAAGGGCCAGCCAAGCCAGCCCCGGCCCCAGCCGGACATTACTTTACTAAGGGACCTAGCCAGCCCCAGCCCGAGCTGGACATGTATTTACTTTAGTAAGGCCGAAGGCCAGTCCGGACATTTTCTTTAGCAGGCGGACCTCTCCAAGCCAACCTATAGCCCCAGCTGAAGCCAGCCACAGCCATAGCCCAACCAGACCTTTGCTCTAGGAAGGGCAGCCCCAAGCTGAAGCCAGTCCCTGTTCCAGCCAACTGTGACTTCAGTTACCGAACCCTTTACCAGGTTCCAAACGTTCCATTTGATCTCCAGTCACATAGAGGCCAGCCTTGTTCAGTACTTTGAACTTAACTTGAACGCGAGCCTGATAAGCGTGTTTTTGCCAAGGACCACAGTGCACCGTAGGAGTGGACCACAGGCTAGAGAGAGCTCAGAGAAAAGGCTGCTGCAGATTTAGAGTAGACTTTTCTAGTTTAGGGAGGGGTGAGTCTAAATCTAGAAATTTCTTTTTGGGGTCAAATTATCTCGTGCGCTTCATGGTGCCCATCTTTGTGCATGCTGTTAGTGTGCCGAGGGATGTTACAAAATATACTCTGATCTCATCCGATCTTCAATGCTCTAACGATTCTAAAGCATCTCTTTTATACAATATGTTTACCAACATGTATTCTTCTGTATCTGCCCCCCAGCATGTTGTGCATCACACACCATGGGTTGAACCAGGCCCTTTTTGCGACGTGTTCACGATCAAGCGCCCCCACCCTGCATGTCAACTGAGATTTGGAGAGCAAATGTTCAAACCAGTATGTTGTTTCTTTCTGCAGCTGAACCACATGTCGTTGGGGTGCGGGCAAACTCATGTGAGTCAGAGGTGCAAGCGGTGCTGAAGGCGTCTACGTGTGAACAATATGATCTTGCCGTGGCTTGACAGTGCTCAAACCCAGTCGGGGAGGTTGAGTTTGCATGGTTCCTTCAAACGTGAACATGATCGACGGAAACCAATACGAAACGCTGCGGGAGATTTTGGATTCTGGGAAACTTTATAGGAAAACAATGATTCCACAAATCCAGGTTTCAAATGCTAAAGGAGATTGCCATGCTTGTCAGCAGGCAGAGACAACCGGTCCGACCGTGGTTGAGATCAAGGGAGCCGGAAAAGATCGGAAAAGTCTCAAAGCATCGTGACATCGAAAGGGTGCATCGAAAGCTTGCTGCTGGTGTGTTGCTGTTGTGTTGAATATGTAGATGTTCGCAGAGTGAGTTTTTTGTGGTGAAAACTGATGATTGGATTCTGTCACAGACTCGCAGAGACCTTGGCTTCAAGCAGACTCGGGTGCATGTTTGGCGGTTTCGGTGGGTGTTGCAGCTGAAACAAACGCTGCAAAATGAACATGGATGGCCCAGAGATGAAATGACGACTCTCTCTATGGGCGGTGTTTGGCCTTTGGGAGGGTTTTAAGGCAACTGGTTCTATGTTCAGCTCGGATTGAATTGCATTTCTATTTCAATACACGTACAGCGGCCTGTTCCTTCTCTAGGGACCACTACACTGCAACTCTTCTTAGAGAGCGAATGATTTGGAAAGGGCGTTCCAGCCTTGCTGCGGAAAATGTCTTGCACCAGCATCGGTTTTGGCCCGACGGTCATGGCGCAGAGCCCAAAAATGTTACTAGATCGAGGAACGATTGGCTCGACATATCTAGCCCAACTCGAAGCAGCTAAGCCTCTAAGCCTAATTAGAGGATATCAGAGAGGACGACGTTGCCTTTCACTTCAGCAACAAAAATTTTGGGCCAGGTTTAGTGGTCCAGATCTCTAAAAAACATATGTTTCAACATATAAAATAGATAGATCAAAGGCTCTCAAAGGCATGTTCCATCAAGGATCCTTCACTCCTCAGTACGACTGTCGCGAACTGCTGAGTCTAATCGTCGCCTTTCGACCAGTTCGGTAAACCGAGCCATGGAAGAAGGACAAGAACGACGGATTCAATTAAATTCTGGACGAGCTCAGTTGGATGAGTATTTCATTGGGAATGAGGCGCCCAAATGTTTGCTCCCGGAAGGAAGAGCAGGGCTGGCTGGTGTTTTTTGAGAGAACACAAAGGCACAATGGGAACAGAGAAGACAGGACAAACTACCGCTTGTTGCGTCATTTGCCCTGGTTTGTTGGTTTGGTTATTTGGTTACGGTTGTTTTCTGTTCTTTTTCCAAGGCTGCACAATTGGACTTTAAGTTCGCGCTGACACGGACCTCTAAGACTGGGGTTTGTATCCATGCCCAGATGTGCCCAGACCACATTCACTTCACGGCGAACGTTGCAGCTTTTGTTGGATAAACAGACTTCGTGTTGGATAGAACTCGTCCTTCCAGAACCAACCAACGGAACGGGACACATTAGGAATGGCACTGAACGGGGCAAGGCTCGGGGATGTTCCATGTCTCATTCAACTCCAATAGTAGGGCCTCCAAGCTACTAGCGATGGCCTCCACCCTAAGAGCAATGGCCTCCAATGGATAGACCAGGAATGACCAGGACCCCTGGGAAAGACGATTCTCCTCCATGGACAGGGTGGGGAGATCACTTCCATGTGATGTGTTCGTTGAAGCGTTTGCATCCTGAGCGTTTCACCATGTCATATATATATATATATATCGATGGGGTGATTTGCATTTGTTTGATCCCTTTGCTCCAGTGATTTTCTCACGAACCTTTTTGACTGATGACCGAAGACATTGCAGTCAAGGAGTTACCTTGTCGAGGTTCATTTTTCAAACCTGAATACCCAGGTGTGTTGGTATGAACAATCAGACAAGATAACAAGAAGTCTGAAGGAGAGGTGCGCCCCCAATAGAGTGCTCAACGGTTTTTTGGTTCAGTGTGAAAACTCTCGACGATGTTCGGCTTGGAGCACCACCCAACTACTGCTGGTCATTTTTGTTTTTTGACTTCGTGCGACTATTGGTCAAGCCAGAAGCCTGGAATGCTGGAGGGTCGTGAACCGTTGTGTGCTTTGAGGTGGTTACAGCGAAGTACACCTGGTACAGTTTTCTGCCAAAGAACTTGTGGGAGCAGCTTCATAAATTTGGCTCCTTGGACAGTTGTTTTGCTATATGACAGATCGTTGAGAACTGATTTTACGGACCGTAGTCATGCAAACAATGTCAACTGAAGTTGCCCAGTACGTTTGACTGATGCTGGCTTTGATAGGTTGCAGGAATACAATATAGGAATGCCAAAGGGCGGAAGTTGTTGGTGTTCATTATTTTTTGATATTTTTTGCCGGTTCGTTTGTTTAATGAAAAATCTTGACACTCGGATTTGAATATGCAAGATGCATGTGTGAAAGAGCCTTGACAATCACTCACAACCAATCCGACCACCGCGTCCAGGAAATGTGTATTTCTTGTTTATCTCGGTGGTCATGTACTTGGGTGAGACCACTGATCTCTATGTGGGCACCATCCGAGCCTTCTCCACGCTCGGTTTGCTAGTGTCTCGATCGTGCGTGAGCGTCGGTCACCTGCAGTGGTTTCGTTCCAAGATTTTTCTCCGAGCTCCGAGCAACTGGGGAGAATTCTGCACCATGATATGTCCATGATATTTTTTTGCATGATATGTCCAGAGAGAATATGTCCTTGACCAATTGATATGTTCATGATATTCTTCCAAGAGATATTTTGATTGCCGATTTCCTTCGCCGGTGCTCAAGTTCTGGAGACCTGTCACCTGCTCAAATCGCACCCGCTTATAAAGCCAAAAGCGTCTCCAAAGCCCAAAAAGCAGTGAGAGGGGAGTGGTTTTGTTTATATAATGTTTCTACTAGCTTCTTGTTACTACTAGTAAGGCACCTGTTACTAGTAGCGATGCACTTGTTCCTAGTAGCGTGTGAGAGGGGAGTGTTTTTTTTTCCATCGATCGTCTCTGCGGCCTGTCTTTGTTCAAGGTGATGATGATGGCCGTCACGGCCGCCGTGGCTTTGTATGACGACATTCAGAGAGGCCGCGCGGACAAGGAGATCAACATGTCGATCGCCACAGTCCTCGTGGAGGGCCGCGAGGTGCGAAGCGGCGGCCGGATGACCGGGGGGCCGTAGGTAGGAAGGCCACGATGGAGCTGAGAAAACAATACATACGACCACACGAGTCATGAGGCGGTTCTTTTAAAAGATTGAAACAAACACACACACAACGGACGAACCGTTTCGTGTTCTTGTTCTGTTTGAGCTTGTGTTTGGCTGTTTGGCGCATGCAGCAGGTTGAAAAGAAATTCAAGGACCTGCAGGTGGGTGACATCCTCATAGTGAAGAAGGAGTGACCAACATGCACCGGCGGCGCTGCGTGCCGCGTGCCACTTCCACTCCTGTGGGCGCTCTCGGCCCTTGCAGGCTGTTTCCGGCTCTGTCCGCTTCGTCTGTCTGCTAGGACCAAGACTTTCCGGCTGACACCATCCCCTTGCATTGCTCCGGGGAAGGTGGCAACTGCTCCCTATTTGCACCAAGTGTTTCAGGGAGCAAGTTCCACCGGGAGAGTGCGAAGTTCCAAACACGGATCGCGCGAAGATGTGCATGAAGATTTACTGTAAAAGAAGACAAGAATCCAAACCAAATACCTGAATTGCCCAAATGTGGTAATTCCGCTTGCCGTTTGCCTTCGAAAGATTCAAGCAGATGGCAATAAGTCCCCAAGGGGATTTGAGTGAAGCATCGCTAGATACGGTGGATGGTGGTTTCTTGGACACTGGGACAAAATGGACAAAGGCTCGCAGGTGGAAGGTTTGGACTGTCACTTGAAATGCAAGGAATGTTACGCCACAGATCAAGCCACACCCTTTGGACGAATGACATGGAGCCATGTTACCTTCAGCTCAGGTTACGTCTCCACCGCCAACTTAGATGGGGAGACCAATCTGAAGCTGAAGACAGCCCCGTCGATCACACAGAAAGCCCTCATGAATTCTTCAGGCGATCCGAAGTCGATCCACCTCGGAGTGACGATCCATGACAATCCGATGCGTTTTACCTTGTTTGGTTTGTTTGTGGATGACGCTGAAGGACACAAAGGCACACATAAGGGAGATGAGGATGTATCGGTCCTTTTGCTTGCAGCCCACTAGACGCGGCTTCACCCAAACAACTCTGGATGGACATGGTTCTTATAATGAGAGTGAAGCTTCTGTGCATCACAACTGGTTCTTTCGGATGTTCCTATGGCTTGAAATTCTGGCCAAAAAGATCCAAAAAGAGAGAACAACATGTTAGCTATCTTGTTACTAGTATCAAGCTACTAGTAGTAACGGCCTCCAACCTAATAGCGATGGCCTCCAACCTAGTAGCTTCTTGCTTGCAAACTGGGAGGCTCCCCTGCAGGCAGCTTGAGCATGCTGAAGCGGATCGAGATCGTGGCCGAGGCACCCAATGGCAATATCCATGACGCTTGATAGAATCGAATGGGACTGCCGACGGAAGGTGCAGAACAGACCTGTTTTTGTTTTTGCAACCTGCATAAGGCTGCTTGGATTGGGGATTTGGGTGAAGCATTCCGGGGAATGAAGGGGACTTGAAAGTGTTTGAGAGGTATTCTGTCCAAGAGGTGTTGTCTTGGGGTACTCCAGTAGTTCAGACAAGACAGAATTCTCCACCTGGTCTTCACCCGGCAATGTTCAGCTTTCATAACTAGAAGCTACCAGGTGGAGGCCATCGCCATTAGGTTGGAGGCCCTCACTACTAGTAACAATGAAGCGGTCTAGTAACTAGAAGCTACTAGGTGGACCTCAGCAGGTCAGTGGAATCAGGTGGAGTTGCAGCAGAGACATGAATTGGTAAACCTTCAAGATGACTTCCAGTGACGGGGGTTACCACGCGGCACCCATTTGTAGAAGGTTACTAGCAATGGAGTTTAGAACCTCCTTGCTCCGTTCGTAGTACGGCCAGGAGCCCCTATATAGTAGCGTACGATCGCTCCTAGGTGTTCTCCTTCACCAGGGTGATCCCTAGAAATCCTGCCACAGCGACCGCTGGGAAGAAGAACAGGGGACGACAGCTGACTGTTGGATGGATGTGGGCGTATACGACCGCCCGCCAGTGCTGGTGGCGATTGCCGTTGGGGAATTGACCAAGGTGGCAAAGCTCTCGTTTAGCAGAGAAAGAAGATGTGGGCAGGTTAGGTGTGTGAACGCTTTCATAATCTTTCATGTATTAATCTCCAATCTTCAAGCCGATCCAGGATCCATGTCTATCCATTGCTTTGGTTTGGTTCCCACATCCATACATCACATCGTGAGGACTTCAATGGTAACATCACCGTGGAGAACCAAAAGGCCTCTTTGGGCCAGAAGCAACTGCTCATGCGTGGGACCGTGTTGAGGACCTGAGAAAACGGGTCGAGAAACTCGATCCGCTCGATGGGGAGGTTTCAAGGAGCCGAAATTGGCTGGCAGATCTGGCATGTTTCATGTTTTGTGATGTTTTATGTTTGAACTTGCTTTTCTGGGAGGTAAAGAAAAATGCGACTACTGAAACCCACAACAGATTACTGGGGAGTTCTTCCTGATTGATTGGAGGATATTGGAGGCGTTCGTGCACCCACATGGACAAGACCCCAAAAAGAGTGTGCAGTTTGCCAGCATCAATGAAGCAGTTTGCCAGCAGGAATACCGACAAATGCACATGCCGCTGAGCTGCACATCGTGGTGAGCTGTGGTGAGTCCTTCGTTCATGGCCGCTGCTCGTGTCTCTGAGGTGTGATTGTTTACACAGGAAATGACACCAGGCGGAGTGAGCGATGCTGGTAGGTTTACCACATATTGACAAATGAACTGCTTGAGGATCCTTTTCCAAAGACACCACCAAACAAGCTAAACAGTTAGGAACACTGCTTTCTTGTTGAAACAAGGGGAAATGGAATGTGTTCTTTTTTATAATTTGCTGTTCATGGTTTTGCAGCTTGGAAGCTTGCTTGCCGGCTAGTAGGATGGTGAAGAACTCCCGGCCTGCGCCAATGAAACAATCCAACTTGGAGATCACCACCAACAAGGCCATGTTCATCGTCCTGTGCTTCGGAAGAAATTGGATGCTGGAAATGGGAGAGCCGGGCGAACTGTTGGGTTCAGAGAGCGAATAGTCCATTCCAAAGCGATTTCGGGGAGCCCTGACAGGGTGAACGCACTGCGGTTTCGCTTGGGTAAGAAGCCTGACAGGATTTTGCACGGCGCCTGACTTAGGTTTGCTCAGACATTGATTTCTTTGACCTGTGGATTTCTCCACATTCAATTCAAGCCAAAGCATCATTGGTATTTGGAGGAGGAGCGCATCATCCTGCCACTTGATTGCAGATTGAATGATGAGTTGTCCGGACCTGGTGCAATCAACACACACGTTACATAGTCCTGAGGCCTGAATGGCTTGCTTGGTGGTTGACCTTCTTCACGTCACTTGCCTCACAAGACTATGACGGTGAAAATCCATGTGGGTGGAAAAGGGACAGCTCGATTTCTGCGGTGTTCTTTGCATCAATGAACCTTGTGTCGATATTGACCTTTGCAATTATGGGTCAAGAGCCTGAGTTGTTTTAAACATGTTTTAACTATTATATATATATAATCTATAATATATAGATATTTATATAGATATGAATGGCGCTGGTTGCAAGGCAGTTTCAGTTAAAGAATCACATCAGCATAAAGCAGACTGGATCTGATCTCTCGGATCTCGGATTCCCGCTGTACGAGTTGGCCCAGCGAGTACAGTTCGATGGCCCACGACATCAGGTCTTCTCTTCAGATCACAGAGTCACTGAAGCGTGTAGTACTGTCCACCTCTGAAGAATAAACCCCCCCTTGATCAAGTGCGGGCCCTAAATAAGGTGAAATCCAGAAAAATCCCAGAAACATATTGATTTGAATTGGGAATGAAAGGAAAGAAGAGGAAATGAAAGGACATTGAAGGAAAGGAAAGGAAATGAAAGCAATCAATGTAAGTAGTGCTGAAGGAATTGTAAAGGGGCTGAACCTAAATAACCATAGCCCTCAATGCAGCTAAAGCCTTTCAACGAAAAGGAAATCTAAAGGAATTGTAAAGGAAACCACCAAAAGAACCAGCCAGGGATTGCTTAGTATTATTTGAGGTCCGGAGTAATTGCAGGTTTGGGCTGCTTGTGGGGAGTGTTCTTTGCGGGTTGATTTCAGGCTACAAATGGCAATGCCCAAATAAGCAATTTCAAAAGGAAAATGCAGCAGCCAAATCAGAAATCCAGAAAGGATTGCCTTTAATACAGTTAAAGCTTTTCAACCAAAAGGAAATCTAAATGAATTGTAAAGGAAATCACCAAAAGAATCAGGTTTTGGAGTCAGATGAAAGCGCAGAATCAGGGTCTGGAAGCAGCTGAAAATCATGGTCCAGAAAAACATATAGTAATATTTGGGGGCCATTTAGTGTTGAACACATTTAGTATGATTCATTCACGGTCAACATTAGTGTAGTGTTTTCAGCCCAAAAAGCGCATCTCATTGAGCTTTCTTTGAGGTTGTTTTCGAATTTGATGCCGATCTCCTTGTACCCTACTGTGGAGTTCTGTAATGCCTTCCAGCATCTCGCCCCGAACTTCGAGACCACGTTCGTGGGAGCGGGAACCGGGAGACTTCGCAGAAGCGCAAGCGGTGCAAGCGAAGTATGGTGCAACGCTTCGAGTAGAGCTTTTTCACGCAACCATGAGCCTCATGTTTATGGACTCGGATTTAAAAAGACACCCAGAGCAGCCATCATCGCTGAGTGTTGTGGCCGTCAAGTGCCCTTAAGGGTCATGCTAGCAGAAAGGCAAATGGTTGGTTAGTGCAAGTCACACACCAACTTGGGTAGGCAGCTGATGTTGCCTCTCCTTGTCCTGGCTTTTGTGCTGTGATTTAGTTTGGAGGGCTACCCTGAAATATCATGAAACATGACACGTCTTCCTTTGTGGCGATCGGAGCTCAGAAAACGAAAGCCCTCAAGTACCCGGCGCACCCCGTCTTCGGCGCCGTTCCAGGTGCCGAGCGATCCGGCTCGACGAGAAGATGCTGCTCGGATGGTCGGCTTCGGGCGGTTCGTCATGGCACCCGGAGCCCTGAAGGAAACCCGGTCCACCCGCGTCTATCCCGGTTGATGGTCACAGCATGTCACAGCCATATAATCTGAATTGGCATGGACCAAAATTCGGAACCTAACCAGTCACAGGACGTGATGGAAAGTACGTAGTCTTTCGATTGTATTTATGCTGCAGTACGATGTCATAGAAAAGCAGTACGTAGTAGAGAAGTATTCATCGGATGAAAGTGCAAATCTATTGATCGAAGTCTCCGATGTTGCAATGGGAGGTAGACTGTGCCAGCGCTCAGGCATTACAAATTCCCCGACAGCAACGAGCTGTTTGAAGCTCGCACGAGAAGTACGAACCTCTCGCAGGAGCTGGGTCAGGCGTAGCCTCAGCGGTTTGCAGGTTGCAAAGGAGCTTCACATGTAGTTTTACAGGATGGGTTTCACACAAAGAGTGCGATAGAAATAATGAATTGAATCGGACGATTGGTCCTTCATCACGATTAAGCCTTGTCAAGTCAAGTCTATAAATCCATTTCTACATTGCTTTATTGTGTCTTCTTTGTGGGAGGTTGGCTATGTTTTCTCAGACAAGACAGGCCAGTGGGCGGGTTGGAGGCCATGGTCCGCTGTGTCGGACGAAGGCTCTCGACAAGGCTGCATTCGTGCATGAGGACCTTGAGTTTCATGGTACTAAGACTGCTAGGATGGGTTTCACAGGGGTACTGTTCATGTTGTACTGCTTGTAGTTGAACAAGGATCAGGGTGCCCCCGAAGCACGATAACAACTTAACAATGTTGTAATCAACTGTGCACGAGAAACGATAACAAACAAAACAATGTGCCGGTCTCTTGTGACTCAGGCACTTTGACGCAGAATGATATGATTCTGAGGCACACGGATTCAAAGTTGGCAGTGGGATCCACGGGATTGTATGAGCAACCACTTCTATTTAGGCTTTACTAAATGTAGTTTGCGGCATGCTCTATTTGCTTGTCTACAAGGCAAACATCGGTATTCGCTTGTGAACGAGATAGGGTCCCCACATAATAGATTGTGTAGTGTATTTCAGTTTAGTACCACAAAAATGCCGCCGCACATAGATGTCAATAAGATCGAAGAGAGCGTTCTTGGAATCGAATTGGTCGATGGTCTGGAGTTCAGTGCTGTTGGGCCTAGTGGGCTGTTGGTCCGCCACCACTCAGTTTGTACGCAAAGATTTGCAAGCCAGGGTTGGCCCCCAGCAGCTATGGTTTCTTCACATTCTTCATCAACTGCAGTGAATGAGGGTCTGAAGACCGCCAACCGTTCGGGGACCGGATCGGCCCACCCAGTCCATCAGGCGCTTGTCCATCGGCGGCAAGAAATATGGGACCTTCTCCTCCGGGCCGAGTTTCGCCAAGGAGCACTCTACGGCGCGCAGTGCGTGGGATGAGAAGGGGAGCAGTGCTTTGATGAAGCAGGTAAGCTAGAAGGTGTTGGACTTCATTGTGCGCATGTATTCCTTCCTTCCAACATAACAACCATCAGGACCTGTTGAACATTTCTCAAACCCTTCTACGGGCTCTCTAGATCTGTAGATCCTTAGGTATATAAACGTCGGTTTGTCAAACACTGATTGAATGCAGGTACCTGGTGGATGACATATTTCACCCAGCCTGGTTGCCAGTGACCCTGCTCACGGGACTTCCCCGGGAGCCCGCCGATAATACCCAGTCCCGTCGTTTCAGCATCGCCCTCAGGACAAGAAGATGGAGGCGGGGAGATTCGGGAACTCTAGGACGAAGAGAAAGAGCGATCAGGGAATGCGGAGAGAAGGACGGAGCGCAAAAAGCATGTGACTGTAGATATTTTGTTGGGGCAAACACTAAATACCCACCGTATATATAGACTCTAACCACATGTGGATCTTGTTGTGGAACAAAAAGTGTTTTATTTAGTAATTATATGTTTTAGTGACGTGAAATCTGTCTCTTTTCTCCCACTTCCACTACTCTTCAAGTATCCATCTTCCCTATTTTCTATCATCCCCTATGTTGTAGGCATTCTATCATCATAGTCTTACGCCCTGAGCTAATGTTCAGGCATCCGAACCGCCTGATGAAGCTCGACGGCAGGCGTATATTACGTGGAGGTCTTTTGATGATGTGTGTACTCACCGGTCCCAACATGTGACATGAGATTTAGTTTTACTGAATTTTATTCATGTCACATGAAGGTAGGTGGACATGAAGGTTTCATTGAAGGACAAAAGAAAGCCCATGCACAACAAAAACTGTTGTGAATCCTGAACGTCAAGCCTTTGGGGGGCAGCAGCTTCTTTTTGATCACAGGGAAGAAGAAACTGTGAATCATATTGATGGATGCCTGGATGCCTGGATGCTGAGATTGTGTATCACAGGTGCAGAAAGGTGCTGTACAAAGGATATATGATGGACAAAGTGTCCAAACACCTGTTGACCCTACTGCTTCGAATCCCTCCATAGATTGTTGGAACGCTGCTGAGCGCTGGCTTGGCTGTACAAGATGTTTGGAGCGCCCAGACCCTCAATGTCCCTTGGATTGCCAGTCAAAGAACCTACTGTAGATTCGTTTCATCGCCGTTGCAGGAAAGACACCGGTTGCTCAGTCGAAGCTGCGTAGAAGATGTCATCCATCCTCAGCCTTAGCTTTGACATGGCAATCCGTCACCCTACATCAGGCTGCCCTCACATCACTATGGCACGTTTGCATAAACCGCATAGCTGGAAAGCGTGCACAGCGGCACCGCAAATCACAGCGCCACTTGTTTCAGCGCATCATCAAGGAACCGCAAGGGCCTCAAGGTCATGATGTTTGACCCAACATCACTGCACATCACGCATCACTGGCAGGCTCGAAACAGAGAATCCTGTCATGCAAGCAAAGACTGTCCAAAGACAACACTCAGACGGATTTGGTTAGAAGTCTCAGGCAGAACACCAGAGACTCCAATTATCCAACTGTTGAGAAGATAGACTTATGGCAAGCTGGGAAGCGACTCCGATTTGAGATAAACGGCATGCGGCATACTCTTATGGGCATATTCTCTCCATAGCATACTCTTCATGGGATTCTTCATGGATAGGCTAAGCTCCATGAATAGAGGGCCCTACAGGTGGTGGATGTTGTCCATTTGTACTATGAGCTCGTAATATGGCGTCGTTATCAAACTAAGCGCGATGTTCGAAGTCAGCGCCTTGTCAAAGCTGAGGCTGGATTCAATGGAGGGAAATTCTTGGAGGTGGGGATCTTGCTCGATGAAGTCTCTTGGGAGACAGCCAATCAGTGTTCGTTGATATTGATTCGGTATGAAGATGTCAGTGTAGGGATTCAGTTGGATTTTCAACTTTAGACCTGCAGCCAAACAACGGCCCTCTTTGCTGCTGCGTGCCGAAGATCAAGACAGATTCCAATGCAGTTGCAACCCTACAGAGCATGTTGGAAGACGGGTGTTTCACTGTTTTCTTCTACCACGTGGTTTTTCGACGTGAGCGCTTCAGTGCGATTGCCCACACAGTTCAATCGCGTCCTGAACCTCTTTGGGGATGCTAGTGCCAAGATGAGTCCTTTTGTAGTCCTTCATTGACTCCACTTTCATTCAGCAAACTCTTCAATATGTTTTTTTGGATGTTGTGTGCAGAATCTGTGTGTCGCAGTTATTCTAAAATAGCATAAGTTGGCTACTGGCCTCCAAAAGACTCCACATTGAAGTTGGGAATCACGCAAGTTAAAGGGTAAGACCTGAGCCCTCATCTCCCCTTATGTTTGATGAACAAATGCATACACATGCCGATCCGTGCTCCTTTGAACACCGAGATCGCAGGCAGACCGCAGCAGCAACAGAAGCATCGATCGGTTCCTGGAAATCTTGGCGGTGACTGGTCAGAACCAAGAGATCCGGTGTTTGTTCCAGATTGAGTCACAAAAAAAAGAGGTGGCCGGGTTGCTGGCTTGTGCTGGATGCCTTGGTAACTTGGGTGGTAGGGGCAGAAAAAGTCACGCGGACCAGCTGACAGCTGACAGGCCACTTTGGTGTGAAAGTTCATGAAAGTTCCAAGAGTGAATTGACTCTTTCAGACAGTTTTGGCTCACTATCTCTCACGGTATGATGTGTATGACGTTCAAGCAAGCATTCATGTGGCGATTGTGGTCCAGGCACTCTATGTGTTTTCCCCATTTTGTCTCTTGACACCTGGCCATGAGGTGTCCCACACGGTCATGGCCACCAAGAAGGATCCTGGTCGAGTCAACGTTTCCTCGCTGTTTCTGTTACAGTAAATATTCCTTTTCGGTGACCCATGATTTGTCCCTGAGATCATGGGTCACCAGTTCAGCAGCAAGTTTGGTGGAACATGAACTTGATATGGTGAAGTGGAAGCATTCCTTGACCAGGACGGAGAACTGCAACTTGGCTCTCAAACACATTTGCCAGACGTCATCGAGTCATCGAGTCATCTTCGATGAAGCTTTTTGATGAATTTCGACCCATGTAACGCATGTCGTGGCCAGGCCCCATGTGGCCCTTTCACCACTTGTTGGTCGTTTTCTGCCAGATGCCTAAGGATCTATGAAGCCGAGAGCCCTGATGAATATGCCTTGGTGAAAGCTGCTGCTGTGGCCGGTTTCGAATTCAAGTCACGAACCTCGGAATCCACGATTCGGTTTCCGCGCCGAGTCAGTCGCAGCTCTTTGGGTGCTTGCACCATCACCAATCCGGTATCGTTTGGCCTTTTTGTTGAAATCCTTGGTGGATAATGGTGGATATTAGCTGCGGGGCCGATCACCCAATAGAATTATTCCATTTGGAAGTGGACCCTGAGTTGAACCATATGAATTCAAACCCTGAGTTGAACCCTGGCCAATGGTTCTTTTCACCGAGCTCGCTCATTGTCAGGAAGCGGAAGTGATGCCACCGTGAGCATCCGGCCACACTCACAGGACAAGTCTCAGGACTCTTGGCACATCTTGGCACAATGGAAGGTGGAAACGACGAAACCATATCCATCCATATCCCATTGTGGTGCCTGAGCTAAGTTTAAAGCTGGTCACAAGGGGGTTGACTTTGTGTCCTTGGAAATGGATCTTTTTTTTTTTGAAATCAAATTTAAAGGCTTACAGGGTGGCCACCGTGTTTGCCAAACGCCAGAGATGAGACTAGAAGACACTTTAGTGGAGCCTAGGATGTCACCTATAGCTTGCTGGCCACCAACGAGTTCAACTCAGCGCGAAAGCGCATGTCGGTGCTGGTGAAGAAAGGCCATGGGTTGAGAAGAGCAATGCGAGAACCCAATTTCTTGGACCGTTTTTGTTGGTGGAGTGAAGTTCACGTTTGGTGCCACACCGAGTTCACGAAGAACGTCGCATCCACACCGACGGTCGGCCCGTCGAACTGCCCGGTCCCACGTGCCAACGCATCGCGCGTGCGTCGTGCACGGGCGTCGCCGACGGTCGCAGGTGCTGAGTACCTCTTGCTGGTGAAAGGAGCTGACAATGTGCGGAATCTCAAGCCTGGAGCTGGCGAAGCGAGCTGGGACACACCTTTCCAGGGCTGGGTATGAGCTGGCGGAGTTTTTTTTGAGATGGGTGTGTGGCACAGGCTTTGGTATTCACAGGCATCTCTTTGGTAATTTATGGAATCTCTTTGGCGTGAAGTTCTTTTGGGTCCGATATGTTCGGTATTGTTCGGTGCCCCACCAATTTCCTGGTTGTGGGTGCGAACAGGTGTTGAAAAAACTTTGTTGCATGGCTTTGTAATTCATGAAATGTCAAGGACCTCTGCAAGAACTAACTACATTCCCTCACCTGTCCTATGTCCCCCCCCAAAACTCCCTCTCGCCCTCCGGCCCCACACGTCCCATCACGGTTTTGGGGCCGAGCGGGGGGGGGGGCAGCGCCCAGGTGATGCTCGAGCGGGCGGCGCAGCGCAATCAAGCAGTGCTGGAAGCGCACCTCCAAGAGTTTGCCGAAGAAGGCGGACTTTGCTTCGCATCGCGCCTTCGCGAGGTTCGAATCGCTTCGCCGACTTCACCGCGCGCGAGCTTTGATCTGCCGGCTGTGACCCCCAAGGCGACCTGCGAGGTGGTCCCAGTGATCCCAGATGATCCAAGTGACCTGCTAGGTGAGGATCATGCACAGCAGATATACCAATCCCACTTGCGGTCTTGCACAGCTACTGAGAAGTGGTAAACCAGCATAAACCCGGATTGACCAATATGAAGCCAGCCTCTTTGCCGCGATCATTTGCAAAAAAAATGACGCCAGCCGTGGAGACTGGACCAACACTACTGGACGAACTCGGCTGGATGCAAGTATTCGTCTTATTTTTCTAGGGAATCAACTACATGGTGATTTAGGGTTTAGGGTTGGCTTCCTATTTGTCTCACTTGTGGTGTATTTTTCTAGGGTGATTTTGAGACAAAACACCTCATGGAAGCCTCAACGCCTCGACCCCCAGCATGTCCTCAACAATGGATGTTCATTGAAGGAAGCACCTTGTGCTGGGGTCCCCTCCTTTGTAGGCACAACCTAACCAACTTGTTGGGTATGTTGGGTTCTTCGTTTTTGGCGTGGTGCTGTTGGCAGCATTTGGTAGCTTGGGGTGTTTGTACATAGATAACATATCTCATATGCATTCATTCATATCTCATCCTGCCCTGGATGGAACATGAGTTTTGTTTGCTGTCCTAATGCACCGCAAAAAAGAACGACTATGCTTCCGGTTGACTTCATGATTTTGGTTTGTCAGCTGCAATGGACAGATGGACTATTTCCTATGACATGCCCTCCTAGCATGAGATGTATCCCTATTGCATCATGCTCAATTCCATCCTCACTTCCTCGGTTCGTCCACATTTCTCAGTATTTAAATCGGTTGGTCCACATGACAGCACAGGCTGTTGCATGGGGCGGTCCTCATTTGACTATGTCTCATTTTGGGGCGGTCCCCGCACCTTCCCGTGGACCGTTTCACATGTGCGTTCGTCGTCCTGTCCTGGTCGTCCTCGTCGGCGTGACCGAAGAAATGTCCAAACGATGCGAACTGAAGCGCCATGGTCATGGAAGACCATGACTGGTGATTGTGAGTGTTTGTTTTGAACATGAGGAGTCGGGAAGGCCACCACAATATATTGTGTGATTGAACATATAACAATATTTAACATGGAAGACAATGACTGGTTTTGAGCATGAGTTGGGTTATGATTCCACCATCAAATTCCACCATGTTCGGAGCGCTTCATCGCTTTTTCTCCCCGCTCCATCATCGCGATTCGGCGCTCGAAGCCCGTGAACCGCGGCGCGTGAGGCTTGCGCACGTTGGTGATCGGATGCCGAACGATTCCAATGACAGAGGCCACGAGCTGGTTAAACCAATTCCAAGAGGCGTGGGGGATAGAAGGAAAAAGACTGGGGGATAGAAGCAGGATGGTGGGACAAGGAGCCGCTTTTGTGCCAAGCCAGCAATTGGGGTTGTTTTCTTTTGCAGAGTTCCACTGACATGTACTGTGCTAGGTATTCCGGGTTGGACTACAATGAAGAGTTTGAGAGCCTTTGAAGCCTGTTTGTGATAGCGTAAGCATCCGGCCCCAGGGTGGAATGATGCCTATAAAACATTTGAGTGATTCAACAGAATATGCACAAATATACTACCACATTGAGGGCTTTGTATTCTGCTTTTTCTTCAAGCAAAGCAATACTCATGCATGCACATGCCCTGGTCACCCGAAAAGTATCGTGATCGAAGTAAAGCCCCAAATCCAATCATGATTGTAAAATTTGCCGGCAAACTGAAAAGCCACTGAAGAGGAGTTTGTCGGCACCCAACAGGCAAACACATTCAACTAGCAATCCGGCAAGCCATAGACTAATCCCTTCATCGTTGGGGGGTTCACAATTGGACTCACGATCCTGTGGCTCTGCCTCTTTTTGTTTGGCAACCACTTGACATCGTCTTTTGGTCATACCCTCTCCCAACAGGACAAAAAAGACCAAAGGCTGGTGTTTGATGACACTGGAAGCAACATTTTCTTGGGACAAGCATGTACAAACTCATTGGATATACCTAACATGACAGTGACCCCAAAACGAAGAAAAGCTGCCAAGGAATTCAGACCAAATAAGTCACCTAAGTTAGAGCGCCACCTCAAAGGGCGCCACCTCTGACTCTACCAACCGCAGCTTCACTGGAAGCCGTCGAGCTCGCCCGTCGTTTCCACCGCCGTGCCGCCGTCCGCGGGGCTCCAGGCACAGCGGGCCACAGCTGATCGTGAAGAGAAACTGGGGCCTTCTGGCTGCAGAAGTCTAACCGCCTGCACTTGATTTATTCCGGCAGCGGGGATGTTGTGGATACAAAACAAATAGACATCTAACTCAGAAAGGCATTAGCATATGGACCAGAAACTTTTAGGTCAAAACCTCCATCATAAACCAAACTGGAAGACCCCAGATGCTTGTTCGTGCTAGATTGAAACCAACTTTTTGAGCAGATCCCTGGGCGGATTGGGTGGCTTTTGGACGGAATCCCTGAATGGATAGAGAAGAAACTAGTAAACGATAAATGGGATTTCGCTTCGATTTAGATTTGGACCATTAGGAAATCTGTTTTGTCGCTATGTTTCTCGCCCTTTGGAAGACCCAATTTGTTGGGGGCTCCTGCGGTTGATACAAATCTAATAATTGAATGATATTGCTATAGTTATCATGTAGGAAAAACTGAAAGATACGTTATGGGCATTCGCCGACACTAAGCCGCACGGGGTGGAAGTGCTTGCTGCGTGGCTGGCACCATAGCGTTTGAGGCAAGTAGCTGAGCAAATCGAGAAGTCACTGGAAATTGTGGGAGCCACTGCGATCGAAGACAAGCTCCAGGAGAGAAACACACAGATAGGTACAAGACCAGGGGGTTGGCCACCGGAAATATGCCTTTTTGCCGGCTGAGACCGGAGGGTCTCAGCTGTGGACGGGCCAACATGAAATCTGCGAAACTAAAAGCAAATGCTTGAGCTGCTTGAACAATGTACCCAGCATTGACTATGTCAGAAGCCCTTGGGTTGCATTATTTAGCTGTGAAGGAATGTCTGTGTGCTTGATTCGCCATGACAAGCATTTTCTTCATAGGCCTCTCACAAGTCACCTCGTCTTGGGTTTGACTGTTGCTGCTACTGTGCAAGAGTTGCGTGGTCCTCTATATACATCGATTTGAACTCATGTGGATGTTCTGCATGATGTTTACCGAAAACAGTGGAAGACATCCTGCAATGTCGGACCGACCCTACAGACTCAAGATCTGAGCGGCCTCGCCGACCATCGACCTTCGACCCCGACCTCCGCCCGCAGGACGGGGTGCCCGACACAATCCAGCTGATTCGCGATGCCGGGATCAAGCTTTGGGTGCTCACGGGTGACAAGTTGGAGACCGCCCGCAACATCGGCCTCCCGGTTTTTGGGAGAGAGGAGCGGTCTTCAAGGCAAGGTGGAGACCTTAAGCCTTATGATGTTCCGGGAGATGGTCATGATGCTTCAGAAGTCATGTTCAATCCAACCATAGTACAGATATATACATATATTAATGTATATGACATGTATATTACAGATATTACAGTTTTAAAGTATTTTATATAGTGGTAGACAACCACTTAGAACTTCGGGACGTGTGTTAATTGCGCCGGAAACCAGTGTAATTCCAAACAGTAGTGTTATTCCTACTTGTGTAGTGTTTTTTGCGACAATGTGTTTTTCGCGCCGGTCCTACCTCCAAGGTGTTTTTTGCGCCGGTCCTAGCTTCAAGGTGTTTTTTGCGCCGGTCCTAGCTCCAGGGAGTTTTTTTCGCCGGTGTGTTTTTTGCGCCGGTCCTAGCTTCAAGATGTTTTTTGCGCCGGTCCTAGCTTCAAGGTGTTTTTTGCACCGATCCTAGCTTCAAGGTGTTTTTTGCCGGTCCTAGCTCCAGGGTGTTTTTTTCGCCGGTGTGTTTTTTGCGCCGGTCCTAGCTTCAAGGTGTTTTTTCCACCGATCCTAGCTTCAAGGTGTTTTTTGCGCCGGTCCTAGCTCCAGGGTGTTTTTTTCGCTGGTGTGTTTTTTGCGCCGGTCCTATAGCTCCAAGGTGTTTTTTGCGCCCGTCCTAGCTTCAAGATGTTTTTTGCGCTGGTCCTAGCTTCAAGATGTTTTTTGCACCGATCCTAGCTTCAAGGTGTTTTTTGCGCCGGTCCTAGCTTCAAGGTGTTTTTTGCACCGGTCCTATAGTTTCGAGGTGTTTTTACGACGGTCATATTTTCGAGGTCCTTTTTGCACTAGTTTTGAGCTCTTTTTTTGAGCGCCGGTCTTCTTGTCGAGGTCCTTTTTGCGCCGGTCTTATAGTTTTTTTGCTCTGCGCAGAGAGTCGACGGAGGCCTTTGCGCGCAACCAAAAGCCAATGGCGCATGCAGGGGGTGGGCCTTTAAAAAAGCGGGAGAGGGGCACATACGCCAGCTGACAGTTGACATGAAACATTGGAGAGGTTGGTTGCAACCTTGAAAGCCCCATCAAAGCAAAGCGACAACAAGTTTTGTGCGTGAAGCGAGAGGCAGCGCATGCAGGGTGAGCCTTTAAAAAAGCGGGAGGGGGTGCGGGGGAGGGGTGCAGCGCCTCCCCCATCAAAGGCGTCACTGACGAAAGATCTTTGTACATGTGGGGGAGGCGAGCACTAACAAAAGTGGCGGTCCCAAAGGAAGCTTTCTGCTTTGATCCCAGACGTTGGTTGGTGTTGCGGTGGCCACAGCAATGGTTGTAGAGTCCAACCTTGAAAGCTTCAGCAAAGCAAAGCGACGACAAGGCTTTGTGCGTGAAGCGAGCGGCAGCGCATGCAGGGGGTGAGCCTTTAAAACGGCGGGAGGGGGTGCGGGGGAGGGCGCAGCGCCTCCCCCGCCGCGGAGCGGAGCTCTCCAGCAAAACGACTTGGGTTGCTATGGCGAACACAGCTGCAAAAGTTCCGTTGAACACAACCATTGCACGAAGCGTTTTGCAAGTGCCTGCAACAAACGCCAGCCCAAAGACAGGAAGCCTGCAATCTGTCTTTGCAGAAGAAGGGGTTTTGTCGCTTGAAGCCTTTCGGTTTCACTTTAAAGAAATCGTTTACCTTCGGGTGCACAGTGCTTCCATCTTTTGCTCTTGCGCAGCCAGCGCCATGCATGGGCAATGCGCGCACACCACTTTTGTCGCCAGCTTGGGCCTGCAGGCGTACAGTGGCACGCGCATCGTCCTCCAAGACGTGCCTGAGACACGCAAGCGTGGTGGGCGCAAAACTGCATCCACAGCACCGCCGCGCAAACGCCGCCAACAAAGAAAATCCGCTTGAAAAAGACCGCTCTGTGAGATTTCTTACGGATGTTGCTGTCGCTTCTGACAAGCTAAGTCCTCTCTATTCTTGTCTTTTACACTTTGCTCTTCATTGTCATTACCACGCAGCTCGAATCGATTTCTGACACACTTGTAATAATTGTTTCTTGAAAGCCACACATTGCATGCTGCCATACTTCGCTCCTTTTCTCCCAAACATATACTCTCTGTACATAACGGTTTTGCTGCTCCAATTCATGTTTCAAATTTCACCACAAAGGTTTCAACTATCTGCCATGCTTTTCTCAATCTTTTCCGATACCTTTTGCACGTTTAACCTTCTCTTCCTTCAAACTTGCACCCTCCCGGTCAGCAATCGTCACCTTAGCTGTCTCGACTTCTCTTCGACTCCGCCCAATATCTTCGATGCTCCTTTCTTTCACATTCTACTTTTACCTTTGCTCCTTACTATAAAGTCCCCCTTACAGCCTAAACTAAAACTTACCGACGTGAAAACATTCCTCTTCCCTACAGTCGCGCAATGAATCCAAGCCGTTGCTACAAACCCTGCTCTCTGTCGTAAAAAACCCTCTGCAACGCCAAAATCACCACCGTCGCAAAAAACACACCGGCGAAAAAAACACCCTGGAGCTAGGACCGGCCCAAAAAACACCTTGAAGCTAGGATCGGTGCAAAGAACACCTTGAAGCTAGGATCGGTGCAAAAAACACCTTGAAGCTATGACCCGCGCAAAAAACACCTTGAAGCTAGGACCGGCGCAAAAAACACCTAAAGCTAGGACGGGCGCAAAAAACACTTTGGAGGTGCAAAAAACACACTGTCGCAAAAAACGCCCTGGAGCTCGGACCGGCGCAAAAAACACCTTGAAGCTAGGATCGCTGCAACAAACACCTTGAAGCTAGGACTGGCGCAAAAAACACCTTGCCATTCTTATCCACCACAGTCGTGCAATGAATCCAAGCCGATGTTGCTATAAACCCTGCTCTCTGTCGCAAAAAAACCTCTGCGACGCAAAAAACACACTTTCACTGTGCAAGAAACACTTTTGACCGACGCAAAAAACACCCCGCTGACCTGCGCAAAAAACACAGTGTCGCAAAAAACACCCTGCCACCGAAGCTAACAACACCCGTACCCGTTGCAAAATACATGACCATATATGTGCAACAAACACCGCGTCGCTGAAACACACACCTTCGCAAAGAACACACCGTCGCAAAAAACACACCGTCGCAAAAAACACACCGTCACACCAAACACTCCGTGTTTCCCACTCCTTGGTGGCTTGTCCAACCAAAACAATAACACCGTGGCAAAAAAAACAAGTGGTTGCAAAAAACGTTCCTTGAATTTTTGATCGCGCAACGAACGCCACGATCACTTTTGAAAAACATTTCGGCCTACCGTCGCAAAAAACACCGGTTTCCGTCGCAATTTAGGAGCAACCCCCATCATGTGGAAAAATTTTTTCTAACCGCATGCCCGTTTTTTTGTTCTAAGTCATGAGTTTCGTCGTTTGGAAAAAACTATGTTCTAAGAGTTTGTCCGTCACTATAGTTCAAATCAATTGCAGAAGGGCCTTACGAACTGGACATCGAACTGGAAAACTTGCAACAAGGTTTCCATTGGTCATTTTACGTTCCAGCAAACACCATGCGTGCGGGCCATCGCGAACGAACGAGCCCCCCGGGGTCAGTCAGAATTTCAACGCTTTGGGTCAGAAGTCGGCTGGATTGACAATCAGGTTTACATCAACAGAGAGATGACCTTACTTAAAATATTGATCCGATGTCTTTTGATCAGGTCATCTATGGTCATCTCTCTGTTTACTCGACTGAGTATATGATAATCCCTTGAACCTCAGGCTTCAGCACAAGGGTGCTGTCAACTTCAATGGACATCCGAATCCTCGACGACGAGCTTGGCGAGGACATTGACGCTTGGCAAACTGTGGCGCATCCTTAAAAAATGGAGCTCTCATAATTACAGAATTACTTCAGGCGGAAGACAGTTTGGTAACAACTTCACTTGAGAAACTCACTGACATGACTTCTCTTTTCCAATGGCATTCTGGCGGATTAATTAGTCAGAATATTGCACTATAAATTTATATACTTCTGGGTGAAAATCAATCCGCCGGAATTCCACTATGATCCTTTGTAGGATTCTAAGGGGAATAAGGGGACAGGGTTGTAGGTCATATGTTCACAGGCTTGTTCCAACTTTTGTCCTGCCTCTGTAGTCAGCTAGTTGAGGATAAGCTCACCTCCAACTGAGGCTCCTCCCTCATTCTCTGGCTTTTGCAAAGCTGCATTTTCACATCTTGACGCCCGAGAAGTTTGATAAGCCTTCATACTGTTCACACATCACTGTCTCGCCCCAAAAAAAGACGTTGCCATCCCTCTTCTAACCAACGTGCAGTGGATTGTGGCTTTCAGATATCCACATAGGAATTCTTGAGGCTGACGTTGATCCAATCTCGAGGCACTCCATTTACACTCTGACTCGCTATCATGGATATGCAGGAGTGCTGACAGCGGTTTTAACGTAGAACTGCCAGCAAGGTTTGCTCTAAACATGGCACTGGAGTAGGCGTTTTGGGACCTGTGCACATCCTGACATCCAGCTTGCAAAAACTGATGTCCGGGTGCGCAGTAGCTTGGGTCTGTGTGTCGTTGGCGCAGTTACCCGAATTGGACCGATCAGTGAGCAGGGTAGCCGGGTCAATATTCATCAAAGAGCGACATGCTACCTCCCGCGTGCCTACGTGTTTACTCCCTCCACGGTTGGCATCCTTCCTGTGCCTCAAACCAGAGGTCAGTTTGCCTCTTGTGTTCTATCCGCAACTCAGGATGCTATCGAAAATGCATGGGCTGCTTAGCATCAAAGCCAGTTTTGCTGCTTGCAGTGCCGAATGACCATTCAGAAGGTAGGACTGCAGTCGCGCAGAAAGTGAGTGTTCACCTCAAACACGACGAAATATGGAGAGGTGAGCCATGTCTTGGGCGCTCTTCCGCGCGGTCTCCACGTTCGCTCTTCCACGTGCACTCTTGTTTCGCTTTTGAGGAATGCTACAGCGATGTCTCTGACCAGGACCATTCACATACTGTTTCAGAGTAGATGGGGGTCCATATAAACCTGGATTGGGATTGGGCCGTACTCTCAATCCACTGTATATCGTCGTTCTTGCGTTGCTTTCGGTGCAGAACTGGACGTATGTAAAGGTTGCACCCCAGAATTCAATTCGATTATTTGCCCCACTTTGGGCTGTTTCCAGCTTCGTTCAGTTCAGTGCCGTTTTAGTCGAAAACTGAACCTCAGTGAGGGGTCAAGGCATGACATCCTTCAGTTAAGATGTTATTGCAAAGATAGCAATTCCACCTGGCATCACTCTGTTTTGTTTTGGCAACAGACAGTATGTTCACAATCAAACCAAATCCATGAGGATCCAACACAAAAAAACTGTGCAGAACACAGTGTTCGCATCCGCGATCAGTAGATGATTCTAAAGTTTGGAAGGGTGTGTACTGAGTGTGCACTTCCATAGAACCCCTACTACAGGATCTCACAATATCTCACATTGGTAATATAGATCGGTTGAAAGCTTGCAGCTCGTTACTGCCCTTGAAAACAGCATTTCCTCCGTTGCGAGGAGGAAGAAGTGGTTCGCAGTCGAGCCTTGATGGTCACAGGAAAGATGGTAAGCCTGATTTGGGAGAGCGGTTCCGCCCTTAGCGCCGATCGACGATCCCGGCGGCGACGACATGTGGGGTTTGCGACGACATGTGGCACATCTTCCCGGAAGCGGCGATTGGTACTGACCCCCCGGGCCCTTGGAGATTATGATCGATTGTGTCAGGGGCATTCATTGACAGGTCCTGGCAGACCAACTAGAGTGTCATCGCATTTGGAATGTGTTTTGTTTTCTGCGTTTGTAGGTTCTTTGTCATGCCCACATGGGGAACATCTGAGCCATGTGCAACATTTGTATTGCTTAGTCAAGCAAACATGGGAGTTTACTCACCAAAGGGCTTGAAACACACATCCTATACATCTAGGATCATTAGGCGAAGAACAACGTCTTGAGAAGCTTGTTCTTGGAAGAAATCAGCTCCGCTTTGGGGCACGTTTGAAGTGATTCCACCCACCAAGATGGGGCTGATGATTCTTTGAAGAAGAAATTTCAGCGGATCTCCACAAGTGCCTTGGCTGCAAATCACGTGTCCGGCATTCAGACTGCACAAGAAATCTCTTCTCGGTCTTGGTCCAGTCGGGGCGATCTTCCCGTTCTTCGCGGGTTCTAGGTCTCTTCAGTGCGTTCAGGTCTCTCCCAGTGGTTTGGGGCGAAAAAATGGGGTTCTCGAATGTTCTCGTTCTCATCATTTGGGAGCGAACGATGTGCAAGACAGACAGGTTGTGATTGAGCGGTTGCGAGTTTGAGCTTGGCCATGTTTGTTTTTCCATGTTGCTCTCGCCACAGATGAGGTCCCGCGGGGTATCTCTCATAGCAACAGCTGATGTTCAAAAACAATGGACCTAAAAAGCTCTGTGATGATATGTTTGATGAGTTTTTTTTGGCAAGACTCAGCCTTGAAAACATCCGGAGCCTTGCTTTGTGAAGCAAACACTCTTTTCGCCAAAGGTTGTGCTGTCCTTATTGCTTGCCGGGTCAGTCCCTTGCAAAAGGCCGGCCGCCAGCTGACTGAGTGCAGAAAGATCCAGGAAGAGCATGCAAATCAGAGAGCCTGTGATGCCCTAAGGTTTGTCTCGCTGGTGCATTAGACTCGTTTTTCTGAGAAAGGTAGACCCTCCCAAATTCGTGACCGTTGCAAGACTTGGAGGTGAAAAAACAGCAACACAGCTTGAAACACGTTGGAAAAGCAAATTTGGCCAATAATTACACGTCATTCGGCTGAACTGTGATAGCGACATTGCCATTTGTAGAATTAGACGCCGAGTATCCTATAAATTCCTATAACAAATTATTAGTAAATATATGATATCATATATGTAATATACAACGGTCCTTCAATTCTCGTGTTTCATTAACCTGCTTCACAGAACCGTTAGATCAGAGTGTTTGCTCAAGGGTTGTACCTGGTAAAGATGCCCTGTAGTCCTGTGGTTTTGAGTTTTTGAGCCACGGCCAAATACTTAAGTCAATTCAGCCAGTATTTTTACGTTAGACGACTTGGTTTGCCTTGCAACACTGACAGCTCCAGCTTTCGTAGGCAGAGCTCGTGTCCTTTATTCGTGAGAATGTGACACCGACGCCTGTGACACTGGCCGTGGGCGATGGAGCTAATGATGCGTCTTGGTTTTCGAAGGGGAAGACACACGAGGAATTATCACGATCGCATCTGCAGTTTACTCTGGATGTACATGGGGGAACAGCTAAAATTAACCATAGTGCATACTTGCATGGCTCAGAAGGGATTCAGGACAGGCAGCCTTGAGAACGCTGCATGGCGAAACCAGGACCAAATGAGTCTCAAGCCTTGAGGAAGCTGCTTGTTTGAGTCTTAAGAGCATCCACCCATGCTACACTTCTTCCACACCTCGCTGCGGAAAATCAACACCTTCGCTTCGTGAAGATCGCACTCAGGTGCCGATGATCCAAACGGCGCAAGTGGGTGTTGGCATCGCAGGGCGCGAAGGTGCTCACCAGATGAAGTAAGATGCCCTAGGGATCTGCGGATCCGCCGAAACGAAGCTACGACAGGATCCTCCCAAATACCGCGAACTTAACATATAAATCATTATTTAGAAAGTAACTAAGTAGCACATATGGAGATGTAAGATTTGTTAGAAGGTTTTGAAGATCGCGGATTCTTTGGACCGGTGGGTCTCTTGGCCGCAGGCCGACAAGCCGTGAACAATTCTGATTTTGCCATTGGGCAGTTGGGCGCTCAGAACTTGTGGTCACTTGGGTGCGTGTCTGAATCGGAGCGCCAAAAGATAGAAAAAATAGTACAAGTGGACCTAAAATGACCTAAGTCCAAAGCCCAAGCCATTTCCCAGTCGACGCATTGGGACACATTTTCCATGTGAGGGGTCCCCATCTTGCCCATCTTGCCTCAGGTTCCGCTTCCTGGAGAGATTGCTTCTCCTGCACGGGCGGTGGAACTATCGGAGAGCCTGCATGTTCACCCTTTTTACGTGCCTCAGACACCAATCAGTATTGGTTAGCTTCTACCTGCTCTTGGAGGAATAGCCATCAGTTGTATGTTGTTGATTTCTCTCCAGCGTTTTGGATTGACCAATCCACTGAGCTGGAACCCTCCACCCAAAACATTCACGCATGTTTTTCAGTATTTTGCCCAGGTTTTGGCGGAACATGGTGCAAGTCTTAATGATTGTGCGGCTTGGCCCGAGCGTTTTGGATGATTGGAGCAACAGATCAGCCACAAGATAATGGACACAACAAGATAATATAGTTATGTTCCATTAGTTCCTTGGTTCGCTGGTTTAGCAAAATAAAACATATTTCCACACCGAAGGGGTCCGATTCCGTGCTCATGCTGCACTTCTGAAAAGACACGGATGCTTCGGTGTGGCGTGTGCCAAAAAAGGAATGATGAAGATTTGCAAAAGATCGAACGATGAGGTTCTACACCTTTATCTCTGGATATTCTGGCACCAGTCTATTTGAGGATGCTTGGTCATCGAAGTGGACGGAACTGCGTCCGACTGGTATCGAAAGCGTTCTTGACAAAATGATAGTCCCCATCCAAAGTAGGATGTGTTCAACACCGATCTTTTCGAACGCCTTTGTATGTGCTCACATGGCTTGGAGACTCGGAGAAGCATGGATCATAGATCCCATGTTGGGTCCCATGTTGGAGCACATAGCAAGATTTCTCTTGAGCTTTTGCGACACACACATCTTAGCCAACTAGTATGCAGCTGATGCGCACGGGAAACGTTCTGAACCTTTGGAGGAATTGTGTTTGCCATGAACTAGTGGGATCTTGGGAGGACCGGCGAGAAGCTGGATCCAACAATGCACATCCTTAATTCCAGCAGGTATATAGACAAAGGATGTACCATGATGTACCAGATGTACCTTTGAGTGGATGGTGCACGAATGCCTTCTAACTTCAGCTATTTGCAGATCCTGCCCGGACTACTCGAGGATTGGATTCGTCTCACCTTCAATGGCGTTTGTACCATGCCCATTCTTCCCCCTGGATGTATGGATCAGGCAGGGGATCCACTGATATCAGATTGCAGCAACAAGAACACATGCAGAGCGCAGAGAGTCAAGTCATGCGCCTGGTGCCAGGATTTCAGGGAACAAATTATCCTGAAGAATCCGAAGCAATACCAAGTGGGGCCGAATTCGGAAGACTTGAACTCAAAGAAGGTTGTTGCTTGGCACAGCACCTGCCGTTCTTGTTTTTGCTGGGGGGCAGGTGATTTGGATGACAAAGAGGAAGCGATAGGATTGGAGTAGTTATGTTCAGGACTTGGGATGCTTCTTTGAAGATGAACAATTGTAGCTTTCTAAGGCAATGACGATTTCTGTGGCTGTCCTACATGCATTTGTGCTCCTTGGCCGTTCCGCCTGCGACAGATGCGCACTGCGCCGGTTCCGCTCGGGCGTTGCCTTGGACCACCAAGGATTGTGGTCATTACTTTGCTGGCTTTTCCAGGATTGGAGATCGTTGGATCAGGTGGGGACTAGTTACTGATGAAAGCTGTCACCTTGTGAGCCGCGGCCGTGTTTTGCTGATTTCGTGAGCTTCATTGATTAATACACATATATGCAAATATGTGAGGGGTGCTTCCTTTGTCTTCGCTGTGCAACTTGCACGTTTATCAGGTGATTATTACACTTTTGGCACGATCTGCTACACTTGCTTGATTCTAGACGTCAACTACCGTGCCATCTTCCTCTCGAGCCTTGCTGGGAGACAGAAGAGGCAGTGGAGACCACGACTTGCGCACAGATTCCAACCTCGACTTGTCCTTTTAAATGGTGGGTTGTTAGAGTTAGAGCTTAGTCCATGATGTCCTGGAGAAACCTGGCACATGCGAACGAGAGATTCACCCACACCTGACCAAAACAGGAATCGGAAAAAATACTTACGCCCATAAGTTTTTGCAGAAGCAGAATTGTATAGTTTTGAATCAATTATTAAGATTGGTCCTTGGTTGAAATTCGATACGATATGGCATGTCTCTACGTTCACCAGGAATTTAATCGGCAGAGGTAAATGAACATTGAGAGGGTTTTTTGACCCTCGAGCGCACTATAGCTCTGAACATGATACATATGTGTGTGTTGTTTTGTTTTAAGGGCCGTATTGTGGAGCCACAGTGCATTTCATAAGACCACTGTCCACCCATGAAACGTTGAATGGAATCCAACATATTCCATTGCCGTTGCCTCCGCTTTATTTAAGCACGGAAATGCGCGGAAACATATGGACTTTCACTGTTGTATGTTCAACCAAATAAGCCAAGTTGGCTTCGTTTGTTTGACGGCTGGATCACCACTGAAGGGAAACTGAAAACATGTCTTGTTTGATAGTTTTTAGGTTCTCGGAGCTGATGGTATTAATCTATAAATAATCGGGAATGGTTAATATATATGTTATTCCAAGGTCGACTCGTGTTATAGATTCAATTTGTCTACTGGGTCATGTAAAAGACAACAAACAATGCCACAGTTGAGAAGCCTGGCGGCCCCAAAGTGAGGCATACTTGGCCACAAGATGCAAGTCACTATATAGCCAGGGGCCACTGTGGACCTTCGATAGTCTAGGGCCTGTCTCAACTTGTGCTTCTTTATGTGTTTTCAATATTAAGGCGAAAACGGAGAGAGTTCAAACCTGCAAGTTACAAGTAGACAATGTTTAAGACAAACGATTTTGACATTCATTGTGTATCAAAAGTGCTTTTGTTGAAGGCCCAAGCGACAGCTGATCACGTAGGGGATATCCACAGTTTGTGGAAGTTTCAATGCAAGAAATTGTTGTGATAGACATCTTTATACTGTATACATATATACAAACCATGCAATGGAAGTTACATTTATCTAGACACATACCCGCCAGTGGCAGGTGACCGCACATGGACTTGTATTTTTTTCATCGGCCGACCATCGCCTCCAAGGAACAATAACAGCCGCAGCTTGACAATCTGGGTGGCTCTTGCGGCTTTTTTACTGTCCCTCAGCGGAACAGTGGCTGAAGGAACCCTGAAACGTATGAGGGACAGGTCTCAATGCAAGGATTGCCAAGCGGTCATTTGGGTGGTAGTTTTAACCTGATATTTCTGTTTGGAATGCTTTCTGTTCCGTTGTAGGAATGGTTAGCCTAAAGTCTATGGGGATGGTTTAAATCACCAAGTGGCAATGTTTATGCACATGACGGGATAGCAGGTGTCGCTGGATAACATCCCACTATGACATGGCACCATAGCAGACATTGCATATCATAATTTGATATAACTTGTCAATGTTCTTTTCTACCACGTCTACTCACTAGTCTCTATTTGAAGGAGCCCAGTTTTATAATGGCAAAGTCAAAGTCTGTATTTGAACCACCGGGCCAGATACAGCGTTTATTTGCTGGTCTACACCAACTGGCCCTGGCTTTGCAACAAGCTGACGCCGAACATGTTCAAAGTCCCAGACCACATGTCTGCCAGCGCCTATTTCTGGATTTGCATCTTTATCGTCCCGCCGCTTGGAGGAAATGCTAGGAGCAAGGATGCTACTAGGGGCTCCTGGCATCGCTATTAGGAGCAAAGGGCATCGCTACTAGGAGCAAGGACGCTACTAGGGGCTCATGGACGATGGACGGCGTTCGGTGCTTTCTTCGGATTCGTTTGGTTCTCGGGCCGCCCGGGCGACTTTGTTTGTGTTTCATTCCGAAGCAGTGAAAGTGATTCCTGAGATGTGGACCTGTGGCCTACATAGGCGCCCTCACCCTTATGTTTAACCCTGTTAAAATCTCTAGGAACCAAATCATTAGTGCGAGCGCTTCTTCAAGGAAGCTCCCCCCCGCCACCTTTAGGGCGGCGGAGGGAGCTTCCTTGCGTCCAGTTACTAGAAGCTTAAGTAGCTAGGAGCTTACTCCCTTAATTAAGAGGCGCCTACTTAATTAAGTGAGGGCGGGCTGGAAAAAAAAGCAACAACGCAGTGCTTTGAAGCTTTGCTGTTCACGACTTGCCTTAAAAGGACAGGACTGCCTTGAAAGCTCCTGATTGGGAGCACGCCTAAGACCGGCTGGTTGATGGGACTTCCGTTTCTAAGGTTTACAGCCTTCGTCTACGACACGTGTCCCAGCTGCATGCTTTTAGAGTTGCAAGACAGCCCAAAAATAATGGCAGACATGTGAGACTAAACGCAGCATCATCATCCCACAATTTTGGGGCTTGCGGGCTTGCATCCGGATTTATGTTTCGTTCTCAAAATCCTTTTGCGTCCTTGAAATGCTGGGCATCATGGCCTCCAGGGATCTCGAGCATCGCCTCCAGGTTCTTCCACTGGGTGTACCACACAGTCATTGACCCCGATCGTGCAGACCGGCTCCGGATCAAGTTGGAGAACGATGAGCACAGCACCTTGACCAACTGGTTGGTGCAACTGACCAACTGGTTGGTGCTTTCATTTACATGTTGCTTTTCAAACCTAATTTTTGATTACTACCCGCAGTGGACTCCTATTTTGGGGAAGGGTTGAAACATGTTCAAACCACCATCCAGAACTCGATGAACATGGCCGGGACAACTGACCACCAAACGATGTCCAAAACAAAACAAAACCACTTCGAGGCAAATATCGCCATTTTGGGGGGCAGGTGCCTGAAACAACTATGGCGTGCCAGTGAGCTGTTCGCAAAATTCAAACCTTTTGGTCGCTTCACAGCGGATTGCGACACGGCATAGGCTGGGCGGTCTGAGCGGGGTTGCCGCAAGCTAGTCCTTGCTCTGAAAGGCAAGTCACAACCTCCCTGAGAACAAAGCGTCGTTGCCTGTTTACGTACGATACTCACTTCGCGCTTGGGACATTTGTTGTAACATTGTAAGCTCCTTTGAGCTATCGCTGGGCAACTCTGGACATGGACTGAAGAGGCAGTTGAAGAGGCCTATCAGACGACGCCAAGGCAAGATTGGAAAACAGATACAGTATATGCAAATCCCTGGTTCGGTTCCAAGCATTGACATCCAGGGTCCGACTGTTCATCACGTATAGTCTCTGGCGAATGCGTCGTGGATTCGATCGAGTGCGATGACATGGTGCTCGAATTCGATGAGTGGGTCCAGTGGAAACCTGAAAAGCAGGATGCAGACTCGACCTTGAGGCTCAGACTCAACATCCTACTGACCGTTTTTTCAATGTTGTTTCCAGATTTTGTTGTGTGTTGGTCTCTATATACCAAGGTAGAAGTCTTCTGGATTGCCGCCACTTGCCGCAAGTGTCACCTGAGGTGGCCGCCATGTTTTCACCACCTGTGACATATGACATATGATAAAACTGCTGTTACACCGTGGCACACTTGCTGAAGACCTGATGTTTGCAAATCCCAACATGTATTTAAGGCTTGACCTCTGAATCATCTGATGAAGAAATGGGGCATCTTGGCTGTGACAAGCGGGGCACAGTCATGACCCAGACATGCCAGGATTGTGTTCATGTGCTTTCCCCCAGCCTTGTGGAAATTTGCAATTTTATCCGCTCCTCCTTTGCTCTAAATATCAAGAAGCTACTAGCAACAAGGGCATCGCTACTGGTAGCAAATTACGCTACGAACGTAGCTAATTGCATCGCTACGAACGTAGCAAGAAGCTAAACTGAAGTTTTAGCATGTTGCTGTCCCGAAACCGCCACCGGTCGCGAGAACCCGCGGAACAGCGACCCGCTGAGCCCGGCGTTCAGCCCGCGCGCGGTGTCCACCGCAGGGGCCCGGAGAAACGCCCGGTGTCCACCGACGGGTTTCAGGTCGGCGTCAGAGGGCGAGGGCTTGATGGCACGGTGTGGCGCCAGTGAGTTTGAGAGCCTGGAGATGATGAACTGGATGAACTGTGCCTTGAGTACACTTGAGTGAAACGCTGTTCCTTGAGTGAAAGTCCCCTTTTCTATCCTTTTCTTGGATGTATTTATTTGCATTTCACTGCTGTTTGTTTTACATTTTATAACAACTCAACTGTACCTCTCTTGTGGTTGGTGCTACAGACTCCACACTATTCAATTGTATAGTGTGTATGTGTGTATATATATGACATACACAATCATGCACATGTATGTATGTATGTATGTATGTATGTATGTATGTATGTATGTATG